CATATAGTAATGCTACCATATAACAATACTACTTATTATTTTCCAAAGAAGCAATGTAATTACAAAAGAAAGAGTATAGTTGTCAAAAATGACCATATGTCAAAAAATGAGTATGTATAGCTATAATAGAAACTATGCTATTAAATTCTGATATAACATCAAATGAAGATTCTATTTTCTCCTCAATAACTTTTTTTTGTTTTATAATTGATGTTATTTTATATTTTAAAATATATATATATATATATATATATATATATATATATATTTAAAAATTATTTTAAAAAATCATTCATAATATGTTGAAAAGTAATTGGTGCATTTGTGAGTCTAAAAAGCATAATATTAAATTTTAAATGCCTTTAACTAATTCAAAATATTTTCTTTTATTCATCTCCTTCTTTAATGCATATTGAATTGTGTGCTCTCTGTAGATATTTTTTTATATATAAAACTTGACTTAATTTGATTGATGGAGAAGTTTTGATATGAAAGATAGAAAATACCTATTTTTGATGGTGATCTTATTAAGTCCTCAACAATCTATACACATCAGCAATAATCTCTCATTTTTCTTCACGAGCAAGATAAGAGCTCTTATATACAAGAATATAAAAAAATATGAACTTCATATTTATTGAATCTTAAAAAAATTTAAACATGCATAACTATATGCTAAGATAAAAATATTTGTATTTTATACCATTTAAGTTAACTTCTTAAGTTATATTATTTCAAATGATGATCTTATAATAGATTCTAAGTAAATTCAAACCATCATAAATTAGAAAAATTTAAGAATAATAAAAGATGTCCAATGTTTTTTGAAATTAGTCAATTATTATTAGATTTTATCAAGAATTTTTTTTAAGTTGCAATTCTACTTACATGTTTGATATATAAATCAAATTTGAGTAGAATAAAAAAATTAAAGCATCTTCTTAAGCTTTAAAGATAACTTTTACATCTACACCAATTTTGTATAGCTTTAATTTTTTTAAGGCATTTTTGATAGAAATAAACATATTAATTTTTATTATAAATAAATTATTATTATAAATAAAAGCAGATGACTAACTTCACATAATAGTTTTTTATTCAATTTATTTTTCAAAAACCAAGATCAACTATAAGATCCACAAAAAAAACTTCTTATAATTATAGATTCATTTGAAGAATGCTGTCATTATTTAGAAAGTACTCCTAATCCAAAGAAAATATTTATAAATCACAAAACCTTAGATATTTTATATCAATATATATTTTGAATCATTGCTAAATTTGTTATAATATGTCTTTGTCAATATTTGAATTTAAGATCATATATTGACTAAAAAACAATAAAATTTGTCAAATATCTTTTTTAGACATTCTTTTTTTGCATCAAAAATAAGAAATGTAGCTTTTATTCAACAATAAATATTTCTTCTAAAGCCAAAGAAATTTCAATTTTAAGCTTTGAATTTAATTAAGTACATCCTAAAATCTTCTTATTTATGACATTTAAAGTAATTCAATTAAATCTCATGATACTTCTAAGTTTGAATTGAAGAATTATCAATATTATTTTAAAGGATGCTTATATATTCCAAAAGATAAAGTAAAATAAAGTATTCTTTAAGCTCCTAAATGTTTTCCAATTGCTGAAAATTTTAGATCCAATAACACTTTGGGGCTAATAAATATAGATTTATAATAGCATCAAATGTGAAAAATAATTAGAAACTTTATATAATCTTATGATATTTGTTCAAGATGAAAAATTCTTTTTCATGAACTATATAAACTTCTTTTAGCTATTACCTCTATTAAAAAAATTATAGTATTTAGATTCTATAAATTTTATTACAAATCTTTTAATTTCAAGTTTTTATGACTCTATATTTATGATAGTAGATTGTTTCATTAAGTTAGCATATTTTGTACTACATACAAAACTTATCACTTATAAAGAAACAACTATTTTTTTTTATAATATTCATTGCTATTATAGATTATCAAAAGATATTTTATTGAATAGAAGAACTTAATTTATATTATGATTTTAGAGAAATATTTTTTAGATATTGTAGGTGGATATAAAACTCTATTTAACTTTCTATCATCAAATTAATGGATAAATAAAATAGGTGAATTAAGTTTTCGAGTAATATTTGAGATGTATCATCAACTACCATCAAGATGATTGAACAAGTCTTTTGTTATTGGCAAAATTATTTGTAATAGTATAAAATATTTATTTACTAAAAAAACACTTTTTTATCCTATTTATAATTATCATCTATAATTTGATACTTTTAACTCCTGAAAAGTTGATTATCTTACTAGAAAATATTTGAAAAATTATTTATTACAACTACATCTAATAATGAAGGAAAAATTGAAAGAAACTCAAAAATGACAAAAAATCAATGTAAATGCCTATTGCAAGGAACAACTTTAAGTCCACATTGGCATTAACATATGATTATTTAGTCATAGTATCAAGACTAGTTATACTCATGACAAGTTGAACTATTGCAAATATGGAGTATTTTTTATTTATGAAGAAATCAATTCATTTGCTTAACAATTTCACTTATCAAAGTCTATGAAAATTCAACATATCTTTAACATTTTTTTTTTTTTTTTTTTGACCCACACAAGGTAGTAGATATATTGCAAAGTTATATTTTTAATCTTATGATTCTTGATAGGTTGAAAACTTGCTCAACAAAATAGACACATATTGGATATGTTGGTAACTTGTGGTATAAGTTGGCCATATAGCATTTATATAGGAAACTTATCTTGCAAATTAGACAAATATTTGTATAACATATTATGTTGCTTGAAAATGCACCAAGTACTTGGCAGTAGAAGTTAAATTAAAAATTATAACAACAAAGGTCTTAAAAATTCTAATGGAATATTAAATAAATTCCAATTCAACCTTAAAAATTTTAATCAAATCTTAATCAATTCTTAAGAAATCTTAAAGAAAATTGAGAAAAAAAATCATATAGAAATCATTAATTTTTTTTAAAAAAAAAAACATAAAAATATAAATAAACTTTAAATAAATATTATAAATAAATAAATATAAAATAAATTTAAATTAATAATAAAAAATTATTTTAAAAAATAAAAAAATAAATCCTAAAAAGTTACTTAATAAATCACAAATAAATACTAACCAAATTTCTATGTAGTTCTAAACAAATCATAACCAAATTCTAATAAAATCCTAAATAAATCCTATATAAATCTTAATAAAAATCTTAAATAATTTTTAAATAAGATAAAATAAATTCCTAAAAAAATATCTAAAATAATTTAAAATTAATTCTAATGAAATCTTTAAGAATCCTAACTATATTTTAAATAAATTCTAATTAAATCTCTATAGAAATTTTAAAATCTCAATAAGTATTAATTTGACAATTGGTTTTGATTAAAATATTTTTTATCTTTTAATCTTCAAGCAAAAAAATAGTCTAAAAATTTAGAATAAATTTAAAATTATTAATTAGAAAAAAGAGCTCCTAATACTCTTAAGTGTCAGTCATCAACTTTTTCTAATCTAGATGTTGTTCTTTTGGAAAAACTTCTTTCATATTAAATTATTAAATTATCTTTTGAATTAGTAAAATTATAAAAATCAAATTTTAATATGCTTTCACAAAAAATTCTTCAATAAAATCAGCCGATTTCTTAAAATCACAAAAAATCTCATTGACTCTAAAGATAAAAAGTTTAAGATTCTAATCTAGTTAAATTCTCACATCCCTCAAATTAACTATTTTATTGATTTTATATTTATAAAAAATATTTAAAATAAGTAAATTTATAAATTTAATAAATTTTATCTATGTATATATTATAATATTAAAAAATTATTCAAATGTATAAGAATCTTTTTATTTTAAAAAACTTAAAATTATTAAAAATATCTTTTATTTTAAAAGCTCTTAGAAACTCAAAATTCATCCAAATTATTTGAAGTCAATGCTTAAACAACTTTTTTAATATTTTTTATGTTTAAATAAATAAGCTAAATTTTTGCTAATTTAATCTTGAATTAGCAAAAAAACTCTCAAAATCATCATATGTACATGGTTTTATACCTTGAGATTTGATTTTGATTCTAATTTACAATCAATCCTTTTCAAGTATCTATTCTTGGTTTTTTAAGATAATTTATATCATAATATTCTCTTATATCTCTTATAAAGATGTATTTATTATTTATTTTTATAATCTACTTTATTTTGCCTTATTTATAATTGTATCAAATAAATAAAAAAAATTATAAAAAAAGTGTTAACACTAAAAGTTTTTACTATCTTTTATCTTTTATTTATATTTTTTTATTATATTTTTTTAATTAGGTTCTTTTTTTGTTGAAACTATATTTTTATCTTTCACCATATAGATTTATTACAACATGACATTGTGTCTTGCAAGTTGGACATATTTTAGTAGTCCTAAAGAGTGTCACCATGTAGTTTCTAGTTAAATAGTATATATAAAGGCAAGAATGAGGCCTTCTTTATTCTTATCAATGTCTTTCTTGTTCTTAGTCTTATTTCAAATGTATATAGTCTTCTTGCCTTTGGCAATAGCCATTCTAATCTTAATATTATATCATCTTTGAAACATTATTTATTCTATTTTTGTGACATAAGAATATATTCACTATTTGATTCATTGTGATACATATCTCCTTCATTTGATGTAGCATAAGAAGGTCTAGACAAGACATTGAACAAATCTTATTATTTACTTAGCCATTAAGAAATATTGAATATAATTCTTAATTAAAACATACTTCAACTAGCTTGACAACGATTTTAAATACGTGTTGATATAAAGAATTTGAAGTTCTTATGATCTATTTAATGAATTATTGAAATAGCACTTTTTAAATAAAAACACCATTTTGAAATCAATCTATACTTACAAAAAGTTCTTTGATATGGATCTTATAATTGAATTAAATTGCTAGAAATTTTTTTGAATAAAAAGCTATGAAATGAATTTTTTTTATTAACTCTTATGGTGATAATATTACATCTAATACAAAGTTTGATGTGTCTATCTCTATCAAAAAATGGATTAAAAAAGCCAACTTTAGTTCTATTTACTAAATCAAATTCCCAACACCAACTTGGAATCTACTTAACTCTGAGGAATACACACAACAACAAAAAGACAATCTATCAAATTATGTTATCCTTTGCACTTGCAACACGAGGTACTATCAATGTCCAAGGCACCTAGATTGTCTTCCAATTTCTAAGGGGACTGATGCATGGAGCAACTCAAATCTATTATCTAATATCAAGAAGATTCTTAATCTCTCCTTCTAAGCACTTCTTTTCTTTAGCCAATGCAATTGCATTGATATGCTACAGTTGCCTCCTCTATGCCGACCTTGGTGTTGTCAATAACGAATGAAATTAGTGCGCATTGTCGTCCTTGGATTTGCTGAGCGACTCTTCTCGTAGAACGATGGTAAGAACGATTGTTCGTTGCTCTTATGATTCTTAGCAGGTTCTGCAAAACCACCCACTTTTCTTTGACCAGCAGCACGTAGAGGGCACATGAACCACACAAAACTCCAAACCCGCCATTACAAATAAAACAGCATCCACTTATCAATGTAAGCTAATTGGAGAAACAACTGATCACAACTGAGAAGTTAACACTCAATGTTCATGAATACTGAAGCTCCGACTGATTAGATTAGTAGGTATACATTTTGCGCAACCAATTTGACGTCCTTCCAACTGTACTAGGCTAGAATCCCGCACTCGACCACGTTCGCACAAGCGCCTTGATGCCTGCTTCCCTACTGCCACCGACAGTTAATACCGCATGGCCTCAACCTAGAACCGCAACTTTCAAGAACCAGCAAAAATCAGAGAACAAGGCCAAAGCGACCTCCGCAGCTCTGCACCACCACATCCTCTGAATGTTGCTCTAGCAGCACCACTGCAAAATGCGGACTGCAAAAAGATCTGATCAAATAAAACAAAACGAGAGCTACTCTAATATGCTAACAAAGACGGGAAGAGAGAGAACCAACCGCAAACTTCTTGAACTGCCGAGCTTCAACAACAAAATGAGACACTCGCATATAAAATAAATAAATAATTAAATGCCTACTACACCCCCCCCCCCCCCCACAATGAGATCTAGTAGCCACTCCGCGCGGCTGCCAGCTTTTTACCGTAACACCCAGCCCGCAACGAAGGAAGTGCCACTGCCAACCCCCACTGCCTCCTTTCACCGAAGTAGGAAACAAAAGAAAAAAAACAAGAGAACAGGAGTACTTCTTGGTACCCAACACTGGTGCCGTATGAAGATAATAACTAGTGTCAAATTGGACCTCTGCTGCTTTGCACATCAGCAACTCTGCAACTACCATGCTAAGAGGTCGACAGTAGTACACCACCCTCCGATGCGGCTCCTTAACAAAGACACAGCTGCTGACAATTTAACACACCAAGATCAGGTATAGAACGACAACAGAACCGGAAGAAAAAAACATCAACACCCCCACGGGACGAGAGCAAATGCAGCGACACATCCTAGAAAAACACATTGGGGACACCGTAACAATCAGAGCCCGGCATAAAACACAACCGAAAAATCAAAACAAGAAGCAGAAGGGATCTGAGGCGGCTCGGATCCCAATCGACAAAGAGGCTGCCGGGATTCAAGGGCAGCCTCATGCCCCTCCCCCTCATCTTTTCTTTTCTCTTTCCCTTCTTTTTTCTTTTTCTATACAATTAGCTTCTTATCTTAATAAAGAATCCACGACAACAATAGCTACTTCCATTGGACCATCATCTAGTATTAACTAACTTAAGGAAAAACTTATTCATATTGAAGTATTAACTAACTTAAGGAAAAACCTATTCATATTGAAGATTTGTCCTAATAAATTCTATCATAGATTGCATATCAACTACTAGCAATCTATTTTTTCTATTTATGTATGAATTCTACTACTAACTCACAAATTTTGTGATTTTAAGTATAGTAAGTATATTTTTGTACAATATACATAAATAAGTCGATTTAATGATTCACAATAACAAGTAAATTCTTTCTTTGATAATGTACATATAAGCAATTATTTTTACAAATAAGGATTTGATTGTATTAGGCTTATGATTCACTTTTAGATTAATAAAGTACTTGATTATACTATGGAAAAAACAAAGATTACAAGAAATCCAATCTATTTAAGGATTATACTCTATTAGCTATAATAAATCTAAGATAATTGGATTAAAAAGAGATCTAATAATAATAAATATAACTAAATTATTATTATTATCATTTTTATTATATCTATAAGAATGGTTTCATAAATAATATCTCCAAAAGATAAATGACAACTAATGATTAGTTTTCTTTACAAAAGATGTATTATGTCTTTCAACAAAGTCTTTATGAAAAAAACAAGTTGAAACTTTTAAATTTAATAATGTAAAGGCTTTGTAATTTATGTTCTAAATACATATCTAGTGTAAAATAAGAAGAGGATTTTGGAGAGAGAATAAGATCTTTATTAGATATTACATAAGATTCCAATTGCATGGTTTCTATTATACTTAAATAAACTTATTTTCCAAAAAATTATCTTCTTTGACAATCATACTCATTATTCTATGATTATGCTTCTTTTTTAGATAATGTTAATTGGTGTGCTTAGATTTTTCATAGTATAAGTACAATTCTTCTTAAGATCATTGAATTTTTTTATATTTATAATGAGTTTAAAACATATAGCATTAATTTTCATGTCTTTTATTTTTAAATAGATATAATGAAAAGATGCTGGTATTGCCATTAAATTATAAAGATATTGAGATATACTTGTGCAGCTCTTAAATTGAATCTTAATAAATTAGTTGTCATATTTTATATATATATATATATATATATATATATAATTTTCTTAATGTTTGAAGATTAAATTAGTTTAATATTAATTTTTTTTATATTATATTATAATCCACAAAAAAATAAGTTGATAAGTATAATATTATCTCACTTGATATCAATTGCAAGTTTTCAAATTTTTAAAGCATATAATGATACAAAAGAATTATATTGATACAAAATATAAATCTTATTAGTTGAAATATAAATTGCATCATATTTTCTTTACTTACAATAAAATTTTGTAAAAATAGCATCTAAATTATTTAATGAAAGATTATTTTGTTTAAAAAAAGATGATAATCATGACAAAGTTGAATCTCTAACTCATGTTTCTATAAATATGACTTGTAATGTGAAAATTAAATAACTTTGAATTGAAGCTCAATTACTATTTGTACAAAATTGATAAATTTTCAAAACTTTTATTTTGTACCATCAAACTTCTCAAGTAAGGCAACTATTGGTTTTTTAATGCTTGTATTGGTTCTTAAATAATGTTCTTTCACAAGAGAAGTAATATGGTTTAGTACAAATGTTGATGTAGCTTTAACCGTCTACATATCTTTATTTTTAATCAATCTAGTTGCTCTTTATTGTGGTGAATTGAGTTGATGCATTACAAGCATTAATTTCCTCATTTATTCATGTATTTTTGCCATAATAACACAATAAAAAAATAAGCTTTGCCATAATAACACAATAAAATAATAAGCTTATATAATGATGTCACATTAGTTGGCTATGTTGTACACATGTTGAAAACTTGGCTTACAAATTTGATATGTGTCATGCAAATTGGATACGTATAATACAACTTATGTGACATCACTATATAATTTTTTATTAAATAGTATAAATAGATGCAAGAGAAAAGTCTTCTTTACTCTTGTCAATGCCTTTCTTGTGTTCTTCTTAATGTTATTCTTAGTGCTTTGCAAACTCTTTTTTCAAATAATTATGAAGAAAATTTTACTCAAGATTTTAGATTTAGATAAAAGTGATAACTTATAATTTTCATTCAATGTGTTATTTTTTATTTATTTAATTTTGACTAGAATTAATTTAACACCTTCTATTACAAAAAAGAAAAGAAAAATAAGGCCATGTATACATTTCAATGGTGTGGGTTCATTTTATTTTATTTTATCCATCCTGCTAATAACTTAAATCTTTAAAATAGACACAAATGTTGTCATTTTTATTATTAAATACTAACAGTTTCTTACAAAGAATATATCGAATCAAATTGTCTATACTTCCAGCACACCGATATCTTACCCACTATACTTGGTTATTGAATCCACAACCTTGAATCCACAACCTTGAATCCACAACCTTGGTTATTGAATCCACAACCTTGGCAAGTCTTAAGTTTCTTTTAAAAAAGAAAAAGAAAAAATCAAAACCAAAACATTATAGAACAGTAACCGAAGTACCTACCTCCATTTTATATGACAAAACCTGAACCCACCAGTCTTTTCTAAAGGACTGACCAGCGCCAATGCCATGAAGAAAAGAGAGATGCACAGAAAAAGAAGGATGTACAGTAAAAATGAATGAACGTCGATGAAGGATGGATGATAGAGTCGAATACGGATGATAGAAAGATGGATGAATGGTAGAAGCGACCGATGAATAAGCGGGTAGATATGTGGATGGATTATCGAATGGATGGATGAATATATGGATGGATGAGAGTCAGGAGGGGAGGTCCACCGGCCCCTTCCACCACCTGCACATCCTTCCTTCGCAGCGATGGCTTCAGAGGCGTCTTCTATTCTAATTCTCATTCTGCTTCTTCTTTGACTGGGATCGACTCATTCTGTTGCGCTTTCTTTATCGTCGCCGTCCGAATCAGTCTCGGCAAGCGTGTGCGTTGTGTTCTCATTCCTCTGCATAGTCGATATCATCGTTCAAATATCGGCGGCGAAAGCTTAAAGCCTTTTAACGCAACCAGAAAAGGTGGCGAGCTCCGCCTGCAAGTCCATTGGTGTGGCCTCCAGAGAGAAATTCGCTTTACAGATCCGTGGGAGGGCTAAGAGAATCCTAATCGTGATAGGATTTTATGAGATTTCGGTGGATGAAGGATTGTAGTTTGTTTGAGGTTGGATTCAAAGGTGGTTGTGTATTTGTTTCGGGCTTTTCGAGGCGGGAAGGACGGTGAGATTCCATGGAGAGAGGCGAAGTTGCGAAGAGTTGCTGGGTGAGGCGGTTTTAGGACTCGAGGATGGGGAGAGGATCGTGCTTCGGTTTCAGTATATTGGACTTGAAGCTGAGCCAATTGAAGCAGCGGTACAGAGCCTGCGGGCTGAAGCCTGAGGTCGTGGAATTGGACAATGGAGTCTCTGTGGTGCGGTGCCAGTTGCCGTGGGAGCAGCCCGAGAGCGGCGTGTGGTCTGCGGGCGCCTCCGAGAAGCCCGTGCTGTTGTTTCTTCATGACTTTGTGGCGGATGGAATGATTAACTGGGAGAAGCAGATCCGCGCCTTCACGAAGGGTTTCAATGTTTATGTTCCGGATTTAGTGTTTTTTGGTGGATCGTCGTCGACGAGTGCTGAGAGGTCGGAAGTGCTTCAAGCCAATTGCATGGTCAAGATGCTTCATGCCCTGGATGTTTACAATGAGGTGAGTGGCGTGTTTCTTTTTCTGCATCGCGAGTTTGGACTTGCACTTTTGGCAGTAGAGAGAGAGTCCAACTATTCTCAGTAGTTACCATGCAGAGAATTCAAGCATTTTCTTATTCTCCTTAACAATCGACGAGGTACGATTACATCAGTTGAGAGGTAGGTTCTAAGCTATTCGGGTTTGTTCTTCTGCGAGGTGGCCTTTGAAACAAGTAAAATTGATTTAGGCTCGTAAATTCCTACTATTTTAACCCGAAAGCATTAGAAAGTTATCAAATATGGAGGTCTTGCACGTCAAAAGTTTTCGGTATATTGTTTAAAATGGAGATGGCTTGTTTCAGGTGACGGTGGTTGGAGCTGGGTATGGCGGCGTGGTTGCGTTCTGGATGGCGCATCTTTTCCCAAAGCTTGTCCAGAGAGTCGTTTTTGTTGCCGCAGGGACACACATGACACCGACGTCGCAGAAATCATTGCTTGCAGAGTTTGATTATGACCACATATCTGATCTGCTGCTGCCTACGACGGTCAAGGGATTGAAGAACCTAGCATCCGTGGCCACTACCAAGCCAGTTTACAGGCTTCTGCAGCCCGTGTGGAAGGATGTGTTGAGTGTGAGTATCTCCTCAAACCTTTTGTAATCAATTTTTTCTTGTTAATTGTAACGCGGAAACAGTTGGGAATTCATCTCGTGGGGAATGACGAGACTGATGAATTCTCTAATGCACAACTTTATACATCCAGAGATTCTTCGATGAGCATCGTCACGAGAAGGTCGAATTGCTGAACAGAATGGTCTGTGGTGCACGAGGAACATCTCCACTTCCACAATTGACGCAGGTATCAAGTTCTTCTTCCCTTATTCCACTTGAGTGTCGAATTTTTTAAGAGCACCTTTTCCCTTTGATAAAAAAATTGCTGTACATTTGATTTCAAAATCAGCGAAGATTCGGATATTCTCTGATGCCTAACATCCTTACATAGTCGGTGCAGTGATGTGTCGACTCACACCCGCTTGTTGCATGTTCAGAAGAAGAGTTTGATAATTTGGGGTCAAAACGATCGAATCACAAGTCTGGAGGCGGCGCTCAAACTGAAATTGTAAGTGCCTCTCGGTGCAATGGTTCGGAGGAGTTTAAAATACGAATTTAACATGTACTTCACCATTCTGAGACACAAATCCGCCTTAGATTCTTGCGCGTAGTTTCATAGTAGATTTTTTTCGGTTCTGTTTTATTGCGATTAAGGATATTCGGGAAGACTTCAGTTTATCTAGGATAATGAGAGGCTTATTGTTGAGTGCGAACAGGCACATGGGCAATTCAACAGACCTGGTGGTGATGAACAAGTGCGGTCACTTCCCCCATGTGGAGAATCCTGATTCTTTCAATCGAATATTGAGAAACTTCCTGAACAGCTAGAATAGCTAAGCTCGTCAGAGATTGCCGAGGCGAAGGTAAACGAGACAAGCTGAATGTGCACCAATATCTACTGCGACGGGTTTGTGCCGGATGGCCACCAACACTTCCATTGGGTTACAACAACTTTGCTTTCTTATACAAATATCGACGATCGCTCTGTATCCCACAAGAACTGGGCCCGATGGAAGGCTGTTGATTCTGTATTCTAGATGAGCCTAATAGTACTGCCGAAGAAGTGTACATTGATAATCTGATCATGGATTACGAAGTCATCACCGGATGCAACAAATGCACTTAAGCATACAAGAATGTACATCATTCAGGTTCCATGCAAGAATGAATAGTGCACATTCTCAAGAACACTAGCGTCAGTGACTTAATCTGGATTGTTACCGAGTGAGATGAGACTGGCCGAGTTCTGTTTGTGAAATGTTTCCACAGACCAGAATGTTACACAGAAACTGACGAGTGCGGACACAGACAAATGCTAGAGTTTCAAGGATGTAAAAACCCAAGTCGGCAGTCTGCGAGTGAAATTACGGGAGCGAACTGAACTCAAGCTCAGGAATAGAAAATACCTACCTCATCAGCGAGATACAAGTGGAGTCTTCATCCTTTCCGGCTGTAGTACTATTTTTGTAATCGTCTCAAAATCATACATGTTTGTAAGATTGTGAAATTACTTATGGCAGTTGCATGAAGTGGCTCCACTCAACTACGTGTTTTGGATTGTTGTGAAATGTGTGCTTCAGAATCTTCACTTAGGTGGATAATACAAATCACATGTGCGCTGACAAAGCTAAAGGAGAAAATATCCAATGACATGAAGGTTAGTGACCTTTTCCCAGGATTCGAAAATAGCAACCAGCACCAGGTCAACGTCGTGAAGCAGCACAACACTGAATTGTCTCCACTAAATTGGCCTTGGCGGCTTCAAGCCACACTCGCAGTCAAGTCACTTAGAATGCCACCGACAAAATGGATGGGCACGCTTCAATTGCACAATCAGGATACTACACATGCCTTTCATTGGATTCTGTCCAGGTGTTTCGGAAGGGTTAATCCATTTGATTACACAACTCGTGGGGTAAAGATGTGTGAACATGCTAGACTTCATCAAGTTTAGTTAATTTTAAGAAATGAAACAAAAAAGCATTGTGGAGGTTAAATGAACGGAATATTGATGAGACTTACTTCGAATGTCAAAGTAGGATAGCTTCAAATTGGAAGACAAATAAGGTCCATTAGAATGATGACTCTTCAAATTTTGAATTTTTCAAAGTTTTATTTGTTTAAAGTAAAATAAGATGGTATCTATAAAAGCATAAAAAAGTAACAAATATTTGATTCAAATAATAATCTAATTTTTTTGCCTTATTAATGTAAGTAAATAAAAAAAGTGAAAGTAGAATAAGTTTTCTTATATAAGATATTATCTTAGGTAGATTGCTTATAGTCAAAGAATTGACTTTTGGTGGTTAAAAAGGACATTCTATGAATATAAGATGAAATCAAGGACCACAAATTAAAGCTAAGAAGATAAAGTATGAACTACAAAATATCCAAAGACTAGGTAAGAGTAATTAGTGTTTGGCATACAATACCCTTGTAGTTAATAAGATACTAAAAGATTCTAAAACCATAAGATACTCTTGATAGAAGTTAGATGCCAAAGAATCCTAGAACCATGTGTGTAAAAGTCAAAGAGTGGAAGTTGTCTTCTAGGACAATAACTACTACATATAAATATTGAATGGTGGAAGTGAGAGATATCTTATTCCATACTTTCATTGTATGCAACCTTATTGATGCTAAGTGTTGTGACTTCATAGTGCTTATTCTTCAATAACTCTATACTCTTTTTATATAAAACCTTGTTGATATCAAATGTTGTGACTTCATAGTGACTGTTCTTCAATAACTCCATAGTCTCTTTGTATGCAACCTTACTGATGCTAAGTATTGTAACTTCATAGTGCTTATTCTTTAATAGGTTATGAGCTCACTTATCTTTAATTGTGAGTTTTGAAGTTCTTTCAAGTCTTACTTATTGTGAAGAATAGATCTTTTTGTTGTTGTTGATGTTAGGGTTTGGTATCATGTAATTCCATTATTGCATCTAATTGTTGATGTAGTTTTGCTCTTACTTGTTATTAAGCGCATTAATAATCTTAGAGGTTGTTAGATACCTTAGAATGATATATTAGAATACTAGTATTTTGTTTTTTTTTATTTTTTATTTATATTATTTGTAATTTAACATTGTGGTTTTATGTGATAAAATTCCCTTGAGATCCTCTTATAGTAATAAGAAGTATTTTGTGAGGTTAGAAGTATTTTATGAGAAAAAAGAGATGATTGTCTAATGACAAAGTTTATAGAAGAGATTAAGATAGAGTATAAAACTTGTGAGAAGCCTTATAAGTGAAGTTGAGAGTGATTAAAGAGTGAAATTACTTATTTATTTACAAAGAGGGCATTTTGGATTTTTAAAGCAGCAATACCTTCTTGTTAACTTTTAAAGTTCTTTCTTCTCTTTTTTTGATTTTTTTTCATATACATCTTTTTTAGACATGGTTTCAAGTCAACGTGAGAATTTGAGAGTAATTTAGAAGTTTAAAGGTGACAACTTCTACCATTGGAAGAAGAAAATGGAGCTTTTATTGGCTTCATTGGACCTTTGGGACATTGGAGATGAAAGTAAAGAGCCTCCAAATGATGGTGTTGATGTCAAGGTGAAGAAAGAATATAAATGTCGTGAAAGGAAGGTTTTTGGCATGATTGCATCAAATTTAGATGATATAAATTTTTCACATGTAATTACTTATAATAGATTTATAAAAGTATAGAAGATTCTTTATAATATCTATAAGAGTAGGAACCTTGCCAACATTCAATGAATAAGGAGAAAGTTCTTAATGGTAAAGATGGAAGAAAGAAATGACTTCATGGCTCATATCAACAAAGTAAAAGCACTTGTAAAGCAACTAACAGTTCTTGACAAGTCAGTTGATGATAATGACATTGTGTTGATATTTTTCATGAGCCTTTTTAAATCCTACAACTACTTCATTGTGGCATTGGAATCTATCAACATGAAGGACCTTATCAGAAATTATGTCACATCAAGGCTTGTTCATGAAATGACTAAGAGGAAAGAAAATAAGCTTCAAAGTGATGATTTGACTCTATTTTCAAGATAAGATAAAGGTAGCTATTTTCACCAATGTGATAATTCTAAAAGCAATATAAAAAATTACTATATTTATAAAAAATCATGTCACTTTACTAGGAATTTCTACAAAGCTAAAAAAGAAAATAAGAAGAATGCAAACAATCCTTATGATAACTTTGATGGAGATGACTATGCTTTCATGGTAAGTAAAAGAGCCTCCATAGCTATTATGTCTAAGTGGATTATAGATTTGAGTGCTACTATTTATATGACACCATATAAGTGTTTCTTTGATACTTGTGAAGAAATTTCAAAAATCAAATTTTATTTGAGAGACAATGACATAGTATAAGCCATTGAAATAAGATCAATTATTGTGGAAATTATTGTAAAGGACCAAATTAAGAGAATTAAGTTGAAAGAGGTCTCTTACACATACCAAAGATAAAGAAGAACTTTGTTACAATGAACAAATTTATATCATATAGTTGTAAAGTTCAATTTGATAAGAATAGATGTTTTGTGAAGACATTGGATAGACAACATGTTGCCAAAGGCCTTAGAAATGGAAACCTCTACTTCATCAATTGTAAGAAGATGAATGAAGTAGAAGTGACAACATTTGCTAATTTTTCATAAGATCAAGATAAATTTGAAATTTGGCATCAACGACTTAGTCATTTGAATGCCAAAAGCATGAAGGAGCTCCAATCCATAGTAAGTGGCTTGGATCTTGGTCAATTCAATGACAATGCTTTGACACTTGCTTGTAAAGGATGCATGCAAGGCAAACAACAAAAGGCTTTATTTCTAAGAAGAGTTGCAACATGTACTACCAAATTGATGGAGATTGTACATTCTGAGGTTTATAGACCAATGAAGACACCATCAATTAGAGGAGTAAGATACTTTGTCATATTTATTAATGATTTTTTAAAAAAAGTATGGATTTACATCATTAAAATCAAGAATGAATGTTTTTCAAGATTTAAGGAGTTTAAGGCTCTTGTAGAAAAACAATGTGAATGCAAGCTCTAAGCGTTACACACAAATAATAGAGGTGAATACATGTCAAAATATTTTGATGAATTCTTGAAGATTCAAGGTGTTGTAAAACAATCTTCTACTCTCTATACTCCACAACAAAATGGAGTTGCTGAAAGAGTAAATCACACCATTATAGAGATAACAAAGAGTACGCTTCATATATAAATCCTTGGGCATGAATATTAGGTAGAAAAAATGGTAAATGCAATATATACAAGGAATATGTGTCTAACAAGTGCATTTATATCAGTGACTTCATAAGAAGCTTGAAATCGCAAGAAACCTTGTATTTTTGATATGAAGATTTTTGGATGCATTGCATATATAAAGTTATTACATTGTATGAGGTCTAAAATTGATACTAAAGATACAAATGTGTATTTTTTGGATATTGTGAAGGTACCAAGGCATATAGGCTAATGTGTTTAAAAACCAAGAAGATCATCAAGAATTGTGATGTAAAGTTTTTAGAGCTTAAAAATGCTTTTAAGCACTTGGAGATGTGTCCAAGTTGGGATAATACTAAGTTTATGGATACATATTCAATTTCAACAAAGTAAGAAAAAAAAGATGATGACATTGATGATGGTAGAAATTCAAATAAAGATAAAGAGCCACAGAAGGTAGGCTATAGTGTACATACTATTACTAAAATCAATAATAAAGTTAATGAGGATGTTGAAGATGATGATGATGATGAAGAGTACCAACCTTTGAATATGAAGAAACAAGTTTTAAGAGAGAAGAAGCTTATAAGAAACATTGGAGTGAAAGAAAGTGAAGCTTCATTAAGTGAAAGGAGATATCTTTTGAGAGATAGAAAACAACTTTGTACATAGTCGAAGAATCACATCTTTCTTCAAGTAAGTGAAGAATATGCCAATATTGTACTCCTTGCTAATCTATTAAGTTTATGTGATGTAATGAAGTCTACGGATACTATGAAATGAGAGAATGCCATAAAAAAAGAGTACAAATCATTCATAAACAATGAAACATGGGAATTGACTCAACTTCTATTAAATTGATCTTCAATTGGTTGTAAGTGGGTGTTTAAAACAAAAGAGATGCAATGCGTAATGTTGTAAGATATAAGTCTAGATTGATTGCCAAATACTATTTACAAGTTGTTGGTGTTGATTTCAATGAGACATTTGCTCCTATAGCCAAATTCACCACCATTAGAATCTTTGTTGCAATTGGGACAAGAATAGACTTGGAGATGCATCAAATGGATGTGAAGACAACTTTCTTAAATGTAAATCTAAAAGAAGACATCTACATAGAGCAACCTCAAGGATTTGTAGAAGAAGACAAACAACATCTTGTTTGTAAGTTGAAAAAAGCCTTGTATTGGCTCAAGCAATCTTTAAGGACATGGTACCAACACATTGATACATTCTTTGTGAATGAAGGATTTTTTAAGAATGAATCTGATCATTCTTTGTATGTGATGTAATAAAGTGAATTTATATTAAT